AGCTTTACGTGGGACACAGTGAGGATGGCAGGCTGGCTCCCTGGGAGCAAGGTGGAGTGGAAGGAGCTTGTAAGGAAGTGTGGTCCCAGCTCTGGCTCTGCTGCTTGTCACTGTCAAACCTGTGTGAGCCATAGATGCACAGAGCGTGAGAGTGGGACACATCCCTAGAGATTATCCAGCCCGACGTCCTTGGTTATATGGAGAAGGAAACCAAAGCCCAGAGAAGTGATGTACCCTGCCCTAGACTGTGGAACTCACCAAGGACAGAGCTGGAAAATGAGCCCCCGTCTTATGAATTTGAAATCCAATGTCCTCAATGAGTCTATATTATAGTTTTCTCAAAGGTCGACCGGCATGTGAATCACATGAGAATCTTGTTCAAATGCAGGTAGGTCTGGGTGAGACCCTAAGTTTTAGCTAGAAAGGATCTAGACAGCTGGTTCTCACAAAACCCACTGGTCCAGACCTCCCAGTTGAGCTGTGATGTAACTATTTAGAGTCCTAGCCACTAATTAGGGCAGTCTCATCATGTTAATGAGGGTGCTGCAGCTTTGTTCACCTAGAAGCCAAAGGAGCCAGTGTCCCCTTCCCCACTGGTGGTGACTCTTGCTGCTCTTGACAGCTGCTTTTTGTTTTCTTTTTTGTCTCTGGTGGAGATGCAGGTCCTCCCTGGTTGCTGTGTGTTCTATAAGTCCCACCGATTGGAGGTCTGTGACCTTCCTAATGCCTGCACGCACTGTTTCTTCACAGGGAGTCTATAATGCCCAGAGCTGAAATCCTCATGGTCAGCTCTTGAGGGTAGGGAACTTGGAATCACYATTCATGAATCTCCTCCATACTTGACATGTTCATTTATGGATTCATTCACCTTTGGAATATTTACTAGGCAGGAATAATGTCCTTCTCTTTGATATGTAGATATGGGGCTAAAAAAGTGGTACACTGTGGCTCCCCAATATACATGTGTGAACTTGAATTAGACTCAGGGACTCCCAGGGAAGTGAAAGCACCATCAAGTGATAGAAAGTGTGATGAGGAGCCATCCGTGTCAGCTGCTTCCTAATAAAGGGCTTATTTTCAAAGAAGAGAGCTGGGCTCCCTAGGCAGTTTCCATTAGGGTCACCGGAAACCTCAYGGAAGGCTTTGTTCTTTTAAAAGTTCTTGGGCAAATTCACAGACACATTGAATAGTTTTCCTTCTCCCTTTTGACACCACAAAGACCAATGGAGGAAGCAGAGATACCCTAGTTCCCTTTTCCAGGCAAGCCACAGGGCTGACAGCGACAGCCTGCCGTGTTTGTGGCTACAAGGGAATACATGTTGAGCTTAAAGAGTGGGCATGAGACTGAAAAATGCCTCTTTGGGCCCAAGAGGTGGGAAATTGGCAGCATCCATAAGGATAGAGACATCTGCCCACTTGTGACTGAGACACTACTTGGCCCCCAGCATCCATCCCCCTTCTGCCTGTGGGTAGCAGATCCCCCTCAAGTTTTGGTATAGCACACACATCTAGCAAGACCTTCTAATTCCCAGGCCTCCTTGTGGCTAGGAAGGCCCGAAGGATTGAGCAAATGTGGGTGAGGAGCAATTCCTGAAGGGTGCGCTTAAACAGCAGAACAAGCCCCACACCGACACTTTCTCTCCTATCCTGCATAATGAGGGAGACTTTGAGCCAGCCATGGACATGCATACAAGGGTCGTGGCAAAAAGAAATGCAGAGAGAAACAGAAGGAACCCGGGTCAGTGCACAACCTCAAGGAGTGGACTGTGTCTCTTTCTACCAGCTCTGACTTTTCCATGAGAGTGAACTAAACCCTCCCTCTTGTTTAGTCTCTCCTTGGCCTCGATTAGAATGCTGCAAGCAACTATGGCACATCCATCTCTTGACCAAGGCAACAAGACTCYGAGCTGCTTTTTCTGCTAGAAGAAGATAATAGAAGCGGCTTGCTGGTTTCCCAGTGTACCCCAAAGAAATGCTTTTCGTTCCTCCCATTTGTTGTTCCAGGCTGCTCCTTGAAGGCTCCCTGCAATTCAAGCAGTGTGTCCTAAATCTCTCAGTCCTCTTAGAATCTTGAGGCAAGCGCTCCACCACTGAGCCACAACCACAGCACCCCCAGCCCTTTTTATTTGATATTTTAAAGCAGGGTCTCCCTACATTACTTTTAAGGCTTCGATAAGTTGCTGAAGCTCATGATCCTCCTGCCTCAGACTCCTAAGCTGCTGGGATTACAGGCATGTGCCACTATGACCAGCTGGAAAAAAATAAAAAACAAAACAAACAAACAAACAAAAAACAATCTTGGAGCAGTTCTGCTGCATTTTAAGGAGCTATGCAGAGCTGGAAAGACTTGCCTTGTTTAACAAGCCTTCAGGTGACGCTGATGTGTGAAGTTTGAGAACCAGTGACCCAGGAAAAAAGAATTGAAAATTCATTCTTTTCTTGAACTCTGTGGGTGGGGTGGAGTAGTGGAAAGGAAAGTTTTGTACTTAAACTTTGAGTGATTTCTTCAGCCTTCTCTGATTTGGATGTTGTTGATTTACTTTGTTTTGTGAAAACTTGCAAGGATAGTACTCTCACTAAGTGCAAGCCTGATGCTATTCTCACTGGAGGTGGCACTGACTTCCTGCTTATAATTAACCATGAAGATCACTACTTAATTTGGAGTAGGGGAAAAAAATCCTGACAATTAGCCTTAAGACTTATGGGGGAAGAAACCGATCCTAAAATAGTTGAAAAAAGTTCCTTAACACACCCTCCTTTTTTTTTTCTTCAAAGACTTGAAATTCTCTTTAAACATAGCATTTATCATTCAGGACAGGAAAAAGCCTTCTTTAACTTTCTGCAGTGATATTTCATTGCATTAGAGACTGAATAACCTTTATGGAACCCAGCCGGAGCCTGCTCTGCTGTCATGAGACAGGAAATCTGTTCTGACTGACTTGGTCATTTGCTTAGTTTTAGCCACATTCTGTACCGCCTAAAACCTCCACTGCACTTGGCTAAGACCTTGGAAGCTTGTCAGTATTCCCATTCTGCATATGTGATTTACGATATAGAAGATCTGAAGAGTGCTTTTCCCTGGCTAGTGTCACTCTGCTTTGAAAATGGAGGTGACAGGAGCCTCATGTTAGCAGAGACCTTGCTTAAAAGCTTGACCAAACCCAGGGTTCAGGCTGCTATAATATATTATTGCTTGACATACAGAAACAGTGAGACCTTTTAAAAATTAGTATAAAATTATTTTTGAATAGGACATTAACAGAAAGAAATGGTAAAAGATGTAGACAGAAAAATATCAAGTTTAGGCCTAGCAAACTTGAGGCCCTGGCTTCAATCCCCAGTACCACCACCCAAAATGCGAAAAGTTGGGCTGGGGTTGTGACTCAGTGGCAGAGTGCTTACCTAGCATGTGTGAAGCACTGGGTTGGATTCTCCGTCCATTGACAAAAAAAAAAAAAAAAAATTCAAAAAAAAGTGCAAAATGTTTTGGGTGAAATTCAAAACCTGTGACAGTACATTTCTCTCTAGTATTCTCTTAAGGTCTCTTTCTTTTACCTCATAGAATCCACAGGAGATAGGAAGAACCATGGTGTCATTGCACAGATTGGTAAACAGTGATCATGGGAGGGTAAAATATATAAGTTGAGATGAATAACCACTAAATGGCTACTTTATGTGAACTTTTTCATTTGTTCCTCATGCAGCCAAATGCGATGAGTTCTATTCCAATTTTTGCTGACAGATGAGGACTCTGAGGCACTGAGGGGTTAAGGCCAGCTCCAGAGTGCACGCTCTCAGCTCAGCAGCTCTGACCTGCAGCTGCTATGCATCACCTTTATTTGAATTAGGAAATCAGGAATTTAGGAAATTAGTGAATTAGGAATTCACTGCAGGCCAGGAGCTGCAGTGAATGTTTCAGGCGGTGAGCACAGGCTGGATTCTAGCCCCACGAGCTCCCTCTGCTGGACACCTTCGTGCAGCAGCAACATGCACACGGCTTCTCTGTGGCCCTGCACAGACTGCCTGAGAATCAATAGTCTTTAATGTTTCCACTTCTGCAAGAAGCAATGAGGACAAAAAATGGCCCCCATCATCATCAAATGCAGGGTCATTTCTGGAGTAAGCTACCATCAAGCAGCTCTTGTCACCCAGGGCTGTGGGTGATGGGGGATGGGTCTCTAAAGCAAATGGTCCCTGTTCTGTTGGAATATTGTTCTTCTAGGCAAGAAACCCCAACTCCTTTGCCAAACCCTCCATGAAGGCAGGTGGAACAGAGAGGTGGAGGTGCTTGGGGGGACTTTTTAATAATGTCCCCAAAGTCTGAACTCTCTTGCAACAATCTTCTGTTTCTCACAGAAAAAAAAAAATTAATGTTTTAGTTAGCTATTTCACTGCTGTGACTTAAAGACCCAACCAGAACAAATGTAAAGGGAGAAAAGTTTATTTAGGGGCTCACGGTTTCAGAGATCTCAATCTATAGATAGCAAACTCCATTCCTCGGGGCTCAAAGTGAGGCTGAACATCATGAGGAAGAATGTAGCAGAGGGAAAYAGCTCACATGATGATCAGAAAGCAAAGGGAGAGACTCCATTCACCAGATACAAATATATACCCCAAAGCCATGCCCCCCTCCTCCAGCCACACCCCATCTGCCTTCAGTTACCACTCAATTAATCCCAACAGGAGATTAATTCACTGACTGGGCTAAGGGTCTCACATTTCTCCTCTGAACCCTCTTGCTTTGTCTCACACGTGCGCTGTTGGGGGACATCTCACATCCAAACCATAGCACAACAGAACAAGGACATAAAACACATTATCATTTGCTTGTGTTGCACTAAGAACCCAGAGTCTGGACACTCAGCAGTTTTTGGTCTGTGTTATGACTTTAGACTCATAACTGGAAAGGAAATGGAAGGGTCATTAACATCTTTGAACAGCACAAAGTTCACGTGATGATTATAGTGATAAGGTTCTACAACCCGACTAGCTGTCCCTACCTTGGCTGTCTTCATCATTTTCTCTGAGGGATCCTCCTGGTTCCTCACGAGAGTCCAGTTCATCTCCACTTTCCTACAAAGAATACAGAAGACAAGATGAATGCAAATATTCCTCTGGTCCATGCCCTTTGGTAAAAGGGAATTCAGTTTTCTTAGTTGTTTCTTCTTCATTTTCTGCGGGTGCTAGGGTTGAAACCCCTGCCTAGAACCTGTGAGGCAAGTGCTGTACCACTGAGCCACACTCCGAGCCCTTTTCTCCTTCTTTTTCAACTTCTTTCAGCTTAAGTGTCCAGGAAGGCTGCTACTAGAGTGATTAGATTTAAAAGAACCAGGCAGACTTCGCAGTGGCACCAAGTACTCATGATCAGTTGTGCTTTTTCTTTACATTTTTTTTTTTCTTTCTAGTACTGGGGATTGAATAAGGGTGTTCTACTACTGAGCTGCACATCTTCAGCTTTTTTTTTTTCTTCTCATTTTTAAAATTTTGAGATAAGGTCTCACTAAATTGCTGAAGCTAGTCTCAAACGGGTGATTCTCCTGCTTCAGCCTCCTAAATTGCCGAGATGATAGGCATGGCCATGCCACTGCACCCGGCTGTACTTATCTTGAAGGGGTCTGGTTCCATTCATCTGTGCACTGCTTGATGTGTGGCACATGTAGGAGAAGGAGAGATGAAGGTCATAGGGCAAGGCCTGGAAAAAGAAGCAGGGCATCTCCAGCAATTGGCAGAGGACTAGACTGGCCAGAGCAGAGACTGAGAGAAGTGGGAATGGTGGAAAGGGTCAGAAGCCCAAGGCCTTGAAGGCAGGCTGAGGATTTTGTCCATTATTTTGAGAACAAATGGAAGGCATTGAGGATTAATAGCAGGGGAACCAAAGGGTCAGCATGGCCTTGTGTGGAGTCCCCAGGGTCACCACGGTTCAATTTCTTAGTGCATTCTCTCCCCTTTTCCTCCTCCTCCTCCTTTTTGTGTGGTGCTGGGATTGAACTCAGAACCTTGTCCATGTTGGACAAGTGCTCTGCCACAGAGCTACACAAGCAGGCTCCCCTCTTTATTCTTTCTCTGAGTTACACCAGCTATTTGCAATCTCAACACCCCAAAATATCTAAAACAGTGGTTCTCAATCCTGGCTGTACATTAGAATTATTTGAAGAGTTTTTAAAAAGTATAATTCCAGACAATAAAATCAGAATCTCTACAGCTGGGTTTTTTTTTTTCCCCTCTTTCCAGTACTGGAGATTAAACCCAGGGGTGTTCCACCACTGAGCTACATCCCTAGCCCTTTTTATTTATTTATTTATTATTTTGAGACAGGGTCTTGCTAAGTTGCTCAGACTGGCCTGGAACTTGCAATTCTCCTGTCTCAGCCTCTTGAGTAGCTGGGATTACAGGCGTGTGTCACCAACTGGCTGAGTTGGGGCATTTTTAAGGTTTCTGCTTGATGTGTCGCACATGGAGGAGAGGAACCACATGTTGCACACATGGTTCCAACATGCAGCCAGAATCAAGAATTACTGATCTTCTCCAGAGGTTTAAAGGCAGCTCTTTAATAGTGGAAGAAACATGGGAGGTGGAGTTGGTGACTCAAGTAAAGCCTGATGTGTCTAATGAGACCTGTAATTGGCCTTTGTCACCTGGGTTCCAGCTCCAGCCACAGCTTCATTTAGGCAATAGAGCTGGAATATAATGTGCAGGGCCTTAACAATCTGCTGTCTTATTCTCACCCATTAGTGACAATCAATTTCCTACTTTATCAAATACCAGCCTGCTTTGGGAAGAGACAACGGCTCATTCAGCACATTCTACAATTCCTTCCTGAGTTGCATCACTTACTGGCTTTTTATCATCTGTTTCTTACTTGTTAGTTGATAAGATATATTGACATAAAAAAGGTAAAGCAGGTAAATAATTTTCTTTTGTTTGGGCTTCTCACTTTGGCGATAGGCAGATTTGTACTGGTACAATGAAAAAAAAATCCCTGAATAAATGGAAAGGTTTAAAAAAGTATAATATGGAAAAAACAAAACAAAACAAAAAACAACAACAAAACTCTGCCTTAGTTGCAGTAAATGCCCTAATTAGAAGACCAGAAAAGAGATGCATTTTTTTGTAAAGCCTTTTAATCTAACAGGAAATTGGATTGAAAGTCAAAGTGAGAAACAAGCTTCCTCTTTTGGAAGAATTTCAAAGCCAAGGATAAAACTTTCAGTCTTTTTTTTTTTTTTTTTTTTTTTTTTGTGGTACTGGGGATTGAACCAGGAGCATCTTACCACTGAGCTTCATCCCTAGCCTTCCCAACCTGCCCTCCCACCCCACCATTTTTTTTTTTTTTGAGTAAGGGTTTCAGTAAGTTGCTAAGGGCCTCACGAAGTTGCTGAGTCTGGTCTCAAACTTGTGATCCTCCTGTCTCAACCTCCTGACACTACACTTGGCAAAACCTTCAGTCTTAACAACATGTGGCTATGAGCCTTCAGGGCAAAGAATGTTCTCATTTCACAGATGGAGAGTTGGAGGCAGAGTCAGGGATTTGGAAAGCTCTTCAAGCAAATCCTTGTTAGGAAAAAAAATCTTAATATGAAATTCTGTCCATTTAATTGTATGTTGCTTAGAAAAGTGTCCAAAGAGCTATCTTTTTAAAAGATATGTGAACACACATGTGAAATAACACCTAAGGTCATTCATTCATTGGGAAAGATTGGAAATAAATGTCCCATCAACTTGAGACTTTAAATAAATTATAGTAATTTGTACAATGGAAGACCATACAACCATTAAGAAGAACAAGGTAGGGCTGGTGATGTGGCTCAAGTGGTAGTGCGCTCGCCTGGCATGCATGCGGCCTGAGTTCGATCCCCAGCACCACATACAAACAAAGATGTTATGCCCGCCGAAAACTAAAAAAAAAAAATAAATATTAAAAAGAATTTTCTCTTTCTCTCTCTCACATTCTCTCTTAAAAAAAAAAAGAACAAGGTATCTCTTTTTGAATTAACACAGAGCTCCAAGAAATACTAAATGAAAAATAACGATTCTGAAAAATGTGTATAATATACTAAATTTTCACAAAATGTCTATTTAAAATTGGTTCTTTTTAGTAATTTGCACAAAATTTCTATCTCCTATTTATATGTATTTCCTTATACATGCTTTCTACATCTCAGGGCACATAGGAAACTGGCAATAGAGATAGTCTATGGGAAGGGAAGTGGGCAGCTGGGAAACGCCATATTATACTTGAAAAATTTAAAACTTTGTCAGTACATTTTATTTTAGTTTTTGCAGCACTGGAGATTAAACTCAGGGTCCTCTATTACTGAGCTACATCCCTAGTTTTTATTTTGAGACAGGGCCTCACTAAGTTGCCCAGGCTAGCCTCAAATTTGTAATCCTCCTGTGTCTGCCTCCCCAGTTCCTGGGATTATAAGCATGTGCCACCATGCCCAGGATATATTTAAAATTTAAATTAAAAATAAGCTAAAACTGGGGCTATTGTGGTGGCACATGCCTTTTGAAGTTTTCCAGATTTTGAAATATTTGCATATGTATAAGGAGATATCTTTGAGATGGGACTCAAGCCTAAAAATGAAATTCATTTGTTTCAGATATACCTTATACACATAGCCCGAAGATAATTTTACACAATATTTTTAGTGCTACCTTTCATATAAGGTCAGTTGTGGCATCTTGTTGGTGCTCAAAAGTTTCAGATTTTGTAGCATTTTGTTTCAGATTTTCAGGTTATTGATGCTTATCCTGTAGTACTTGATGAATAAGTAAAATAAACTGAAAGATTGCAAATTCATATCTCAGCTCTGTTATTCTGGCAAAATCATTAGTTCTCCCTTTATTCATTCAGCTTATGAACATTTATTGAATGTCTGCTGTGTTTCAGGTACTGTGCTAGTAATGGAGGCACAGAGATGAAAGATCTATTTGTAAGAAGCTTACTGACTTGTGGGGAAATGATGAGAAATCTCACAGTTGCAATGCAGTGTGGTAAATGCTGTGACAGATTATAACAGGTTTCCACAAGACCTCACGGGAGGTGAAACTAAATTAGGTTAGGAAGTTTTGTTTACCAGTGGACATAGTGCTAAGTCTTGCAGTGAAGCGAAGATAGGGCGATCCCAGGCAGAGGGAGTCCCCTGTGCTGGCTAGGGGTAGTCTGATATTATTGCAGTGTGTGGACAGTGTAAATTAGACACAGGCCAAAGCCAGATCTTGCATGGTGCAGTTTGGAGTTTTAGAAAAATTGCATTTGTTTTATGTTCCCTGTTATCTTGTAACAGGAATATATCTTGATACYGGGAATTTAACTGGAAGACCAGTCTTTACACCGTAAAGACTTTCAAGCAAACCAGTGATAAGAACGGAGCTGCTTTGGGAAAATGCAGCAGTATGGAAGAAATTATAGGTCTGGGGCAGGGAGGGAGGAGATTAACAAACTCTCTATAAACACAAAGGGTAATGCTGTAACCAGCACATGAGAGGCTCTTCCCAGACACTGGGGTGCAGATCCTGGAATCAGTCTGCTTGCCCTGAAGTCCTAACTCCTGCCCCTCATGTCTTACAGACCATGAGAGAGTTTCTTAACCTTGAGCCTCAGTTTCTTCTAATGGTTCTGCCCCTGGCCCTTGTGCCTAGCATCCCCTCTGAGCATAGTACTCCTAGACTCATGGCAGGTTTTCCTAGGGCACTGTTGGGAGGATGGGGAACATAGGATGCAGGAGAAAGAAGGGGCACTCCTCTCTGCCTCCCGTGACCTATATGACTTCTCATTGAACCGCAGTTTCTCTATCTGTGAAATGACAGTAGTAATGAATATTGTACAGAGTTCCTGAAAGGATTAACTAGGAAAATACATTTGGAAATTTTGTGTAATATGCCATGTGATACACAAATGTCAATTACTATTTTCAATACTTTCTTAATGATGGAAAAAAATGAGTATCTTATTTGAAAATTTCAATTTCAGGGTAGTCCAGTTTTTCTTGTGTACTTCATACTTCTCCTTAGTAAAGAAAACTGATGCGGGGGGTGTAGCTCAGTGATAAAACACTTGTTTAGTACATGTGAAGCCCTACTTCCATCCCCAGCACTGGAAGAAAAAAAATAATTCCTACTGTAATTCCTACTACTCAGGAGGCTGAGGCAAGAGGATTGCAAATTTGAGGCCAGCCTGGGCAACTTAGCAAGATCCTATCTCAAAATAAAATAAGATAAAATAAAAAGGACTGGGATGTAGCTCCATGTAGAATGTCCCTGGGTTCAATCCCTAGTATAAAACAAAATATAACTGACTAAAGAAAATCACAAGGTGCCTTGTGTGATTATAATAAGTTTAAGATGTTTTTTCAAAATCTCTGCTCCCTTCTCAGGTTCTGAGACCAGAACAGGGATGTACAATTAAGCTGGTCATGGGAACAAAATAGGCAGAACTCTCTCAATATGGGGTACTGTGGACTTTATGGCCTTGAAACCCAGCTCCTGCTGCAGGCAGCCATGCCACTGATCATATCTGAGCCTCAGTTTCCTCATCTGCATAGGAGAGTTCTGCATACTTACCAGGAATTGGGGAGTGGGGATGGGGAGATTAAATAAAGCTTAATATATGAAAGACTTGGCCCTCAGCAGGGATCAGTGAATGTTGGTTCCTTTCTCTCTCACAAGGTTCGTCCTTTATAGATGTGAAAATTCTTTGAAAGCTATTATTTCATGTAATTCTCACTTCACCATTAAGAGGCAGGTGTGGAGTTCCCAGTATTACCATCTCCATTTTACAAAGAGGAAATGGGAGTCCCAGAGCATTTCAAGGTCACTCAGAGTCAGAGAAGACCCAGGGCTTCCCAACTACTAGCCTGACACCTTAATATTGATCATATTCCACTTTAATCCCAAGCTTCTTTCTTTTGAAAATTTAAGACTCGCTGTCCTGAATATTTTTTCCTGGAAATATTATTCGAATGTCGTGGAATCATTGAATCTTGAAACCGAGCTGTGATCCCTCTGCACTGTTCCTGCCAAGTGGTTAACAAAGCATTTAAAGGACTCTGGGGACTGGAATTTATCTCCTAAGGTACCCTGCTCCATCTTTGGGCAGCATCTTAAGCCAAGCATTATTTTCCTGCTACTTTCAATCTTTGAAATTCATGTTGTTCCACCTCAATGTGACCACAAGATTCAGTGGCAGTCCTCCTCTACTTGGAGGGATGTCCCACCTCTGTGGGAGGGCTGCTCTGACCTCAGGCATGGCTGGCTCTTGTGCCTGCTTTGAGGCAGATCCTTCCACCTTGCACCAGAGGACACCATGCTCTCACTGTGATGGCGGTAGAGTGGAAGTTTATTTCTCATTCTTTGTATTTTTTGGACATAACATACATACATTTTCATGCTAATATGGAGTATAAGTATATTTGAATATATCCCTAGCATTCAGAGACATTATTGTCATTTTCTTTCTTACTGCAATGACGTAACCCTGACAATGTAAAATATCTATTCTAATTTATTAATCAAATACCATTTCTTTTTGAGAAAGGATAGATTTAAATAGATTTTAAAAAATCAAACATAGTTCAATTTTTATACAAACTCAGAGTTACTCAGAATTGATTGTATTTTCTCAGATTGAAGCCTGACAGAAACAGGTTATCAGCTATCTTTAGTGTTGTAAAGAGGTTCTTAACTAAGCGGAAGATTCCATGTGCAATAACAGAGAAATAAATGGGTCTCTGGTAGCAACCCGAGTCTGCCTCTGCCACAACATTATGCTGATATTGTCTGCTACATTGTTTATCCCCGTCTTAGATTATAGGCTCCTGGAAGGTCAAGGGTGCAGATGATTCATCTCTGTGTCCTCAGGGCCTGCATAGTATCTGATACACAGAGGATGCTCATTGTAAGTTGTTTGAAGGGAACTAAATGAAGGCTGGGAGAGAAAGCTTTATATTTCCATAGAACTCAGGTAGGAATAGAGAAAAGGGCTGAGTCTTGCAGGATAAGAAAATCTTCCTATAGCAGACTGAATGCATGCACAGAGTGGAATTTTCTAGAAGGATTGTGCTGGAAGCTTAGTTAATATGGCTGGCAGTGCTTCCGATTGGATAGGGCTCAGCTGGGGTGTTCAGCAAAGCTTTACAGCAGATGATTGAGCACTGAGTTCTGAAGCTGGGCGGCCTGCCTGTGAATCTGTATCTGCCATTTACCACCTGACATTCTGCAAGTTACTTAACTTCTCAGTACCTTATTTTTTCTCATCTGTAAAAAAATAGGTACATTCTTACCTTCAGTTTGTGAATTAAATGAGTTCCTGCATATAAAACTTAGAACATAGCCTAATAGAATAAGTGCTCAGTAATGTTAGCAACTGTGATTATTTACATCTTTCCATTTTCTTTTGCTGCCTCTGTCTTATCTCCTACCCTCATCTCTTTCTATACGTATCAGGCAAAAATGAAAAAAATGCCCCAGGGGTGGGCAGGAAATACATGAATGAAATGCATAGGATGGTTTGATTCCCATGCAGCTCCAGCCTGGGTGCTTTTCTTTGTTTAAATTAACCGTTCTTGTCTGTATAACCGTGAGATGGTGTCATTCTGTGATGCATTACTCAAGAATCCAGGAGCTACCTGTCAATAGGGAGAAGGCCTAGGTAGGGTAAGCTGTTAACACTCAACGTTCCCAAGAGAAGGTGTGGTTTTCTGGGCAAGGACTTGTCTGGGAGTAGGTGTTCTGTGAGTCCAGTGGAATTTCCATTCACTGAGTCTTGAGGAGGATGGACTAGAAAGTGGGATTGAAGGATGTTGCATTTTTCCTTCTTTAGGGCTGTGCCAAAATTGCAGAAGCAAAAAGTGTAACACAAAAGCTTTGAGAACACCGAATATACAAAAAAATTATTGTAAAGTTTCCCACTCTGAATACTTTTCTTATTTGCTAATAACAGAAATTATTTGCTAATAATAATTTGTTGCCTACACTAGTATGGAACAGGGTAGGATCTTGTTCTTCCCAGCCCCTGTGTTTTTGATTTTTGTTTTGTGGTGCTGAGGATGGACACCAGGGGCCTCACACATGCTGGTCATGTGCTCTACCATTGAGCCTCTACCCCAGCCTATCCTGGTCTGTTTTGTTCACAGATGTATCGGATGTTCAGAAAGTGCAAGACACTTAGTAGGTAACCGGTGCTAAAATATTGGTTAAATGAATAAATAGCAATAATGATGATGATATCACATCCTAGAAACTACTAACCATAGTTCTTCAAGTCCTAAGGGAAGAACTAAGTCATTATTAAGAATAAACAGGGGGCTGGGGATGTGGCTCAAGCGGTAGCGCGCTCGCCTTGCATGCGTGCGACCCTGGTTCGATCCTCAGCACCACATACCAACAAAGATGTTGTGTCCGCAGAATCTAAGCCCCACCTTGCAGAACTGGGCTTAGGGCAGCTCAGAGAGGTGTCATCTGAGAACTCTGAATTGGTTGAGGGTGGGAAGGTGATGCTCATGATCTCCAAAGTCCTTGGACCAGTCTACATAGCACTAGGGGTGCCATCATTATGAACATTACAAGTGTCTCTTCTCTTTTCCCCTGTCTTTCTGAATCACTTCCTATCAAGGGCCTGGAATGGTGTCCCCTAAGGTAGTATGAGGGACCTGAGATCCTTCCATGCCAGACATGGCTTGGTTCCTGGTTAATTTCCTGGACTCCATGGTCATATATTTCCAGTTCAGTAAACTCCAAGGAGGCAAAAAATGGGTAGGAAGGGCCCTAAACAAAAGGGCTTGTGAGGGACAATTCCTGGAGCACTTGGTGAGCACCTTCCACATGCCTAGGGATGCTAGGGTGGGAGGAAGTACCGCAAAGATAGACAAATGACATCCTCACCGCAAGAACTCTCTGTGGCCTTAACTAGAAACAAAGCTGAGCTTGGGAGATCAATGAGCTCTTATTAGAGAACAGGAAACAAGGCAGATATCCAAAAGAGAATCTGCAGTTGACTTCTGACTAGTTAACTCAAGAATCAGTCTCCTTCACAGTAGGAGTATCAACTCTACTAAGTTACAGTGATAAACAGTAGCAATTATGTTAGCTACTGTCAAGATAAAATGAATTATATTTGCCCATTTTATCAGGTGGTTCAAAGTTATCCTTTTTCTTCTCTGTTCCCTGTCCCCACCACCCAAACTAGACACCCAACTGATTTGTTCCCGATGGCTGGCTGTGATTACTGTCCTAATTTGTTCTTTCCTCATCTGCTACAAACTGCGTATTTTCTGTCTCTTCTGATAAATCAGGAGCACTGAGGGACTTCTGAAGCTGTTTTTGTACCATGCAGAAGTGTATTAACTGGAATTCCTGTGTATGTGTCTATAAAACCCCTCGTCTTCTCAGTGTGAGATCACCTTCAGGAACGGCGTCATGTCGATGTGCAGCTTGCGTGTGTAAAATTCTTTTCCGTTTGAACAAATCAGCCCTTTATTTATACAACTTTGAGGTTCTCCCGTCTTCTGAGCTGCTGCCTCCAAGGACTGCGGGGCTCCCTGGGAGAGAAACAGAAAGCCCAGCTTTCATAGGCATGACACACAGAGCAACAAGAGCTAGTCCAAATCCCCCAATATTTATAAAAAGCAATGTTTTCATCATGGAACACTAATAATAACACCTATTTTTACCATGGAAGACACAGGGGACCCAAATGTGCAGAGAATAACTCAAGACTGGTTAATAATTAGTACCAGGGAAGTGGAAAACGGACCTTCCCAAGGTTGTAATTATTTCATTTAATTCTCTGGACAACCCTGTGAGACAAGTATGGTACCCCCATTTCACAGATGAGGAAGGGAAGCTTCAGGAGTGTAAGCAACTTGTTCAAAGCCATTCAGCTGGCATACAGCCGACCTAAAATCACTGCCCAAGACTCCTTTTTAAATTAGATCATTTTGTTACTTTTATAGTTTCAAATAGCTAGGAATGGTTACTAAATCTGYCTTGCAACAAATAAGGTTACAGCAAGATTCCAATTTGTTTCCAAGCTGAAATGTATTCAGTGTGTTAGGAARAGTGATTGGAACAAAAGTGGCTGAGAGGGAAGGAAGAATGGGCTAAGAGAGGAGGCCCAGTGTGGGGTGGGGTCTGTCTCTTCTGCCGTCACCACAATGTGCAAACGATGTCACATTTCTTTCTTTAATACTTAGTTTTTAGTTGTAATCGGACACAATATCTTTATTTTATTTATTTATTTTTATGTGGTGCTGAGAATTGAACCCAGGGCCTTGCACATGCTAGGCGAGCACTCTACCGCTGAGCCACAACCTCAGCCCCAAATGATGTCACATTTCAAGTACCAAAAAGCTTGACCTGAAATTGCCTTCCAGCCTGTGCCCTGCACTACAACCTGAGTGATCTTTTCAAAAGGCAAACTGCCCACATTACCCCTCTGCTTAAAACCTTTAAAGGCCATTGGCCTCAGGGTGAAGGCCAACAGGCTTAAAAGGTTTAAGTTTCCTGCCTGGCCCTGGACTATCTCTCTGGCCTTGTTCATTCATTCAAGGAATATTTATTGGGTGCCTTTGCTATGGCAGAAAGAGTGAATCCAGCAGTGGAAGTCTGTACCCCCATGAAGAGTACACCTCCATTGCACAGAAAAGAAAGAGAGAACAGAGGAGAGAAACATAAGTTATGTCTGAAGGTTATTTGTGATATAGAAAAAAGAAATACAAAGGTGTTGAGGGGCAGATGGGGATGGATGTGGAGACCTCAGAGTTAACCCATCATGTCCCATCTTCTATATATAGGTTACCTATAAAAACCTATAACATTTTTCAGGACACCTACAAAATTGCTCAATTTAAGTTTTTATAGGTGCCCTATATATAGGACAGTGGGCCATAGTGGGTTAAGCAGGAGAGTTGAGGAACGCCCCACCAGAAAGTGAGGTTTGGCAAGGCTCTGAAGCAGGTGGGAGAAGGTATGTGTGGCTCTCTGTGAGAAGTGTTGACCTTACTGTGGAAACAGCAAGTACAAAGGGCCACCACCCACATTGGCCTTTCAGTTCCTGGAGCAAGACATTCATTTGCCCTTCCCTCTCCTTTCATGACCCCTCAGCCTTTAGGTATGGCTCATCTGTGCCCTCCTGGGGCCACTCTGTCCCCATTGCCCATAGTGATGCTGAGACTGTGCAATGCTCCTCCCCAAGAGATGACAGAAGTGATAAGGGAAGCAATGACGTAAGCTTCACCAGCGCAGGGACCACAGCTATCTTGTTCCTGTTGTCACAGCCGTGCCTGGCTCAGGGCTTGGAAATGAACATACAGTTGCTATCTACCTGCCGAACTGATGGGTATTGGACACAGGAGTGAAGGACGCCAGAGGCAATCTGCAGCTAGGGCCTGCCTCAGTTCAGAGGAGGAGGGGGCAACAGCACGGCTCCACAGGGAATGTGTGCTGACCTCTGGAGGCCTGACCTCTGCACGTGGCACTGGCTGCCCATTCCCAAGGAGGAAAGTTATTTGTTAGTTTTGGGGGCTGATTTGCTGGGGCCATATACATTAGTGTGCTATGAGATCACCCTGGGTGTGGATTTGATCATTTCCATATTTTCTAGGAGACGAACTCTCAGATGTCAGTCTCTCTGGGCAGTCATAAACTCTCCCTCCCATAACTTTTATATCACCCACAAGTATTCATGAGGCATGAACAGTTGGTGGGTCCCCACAAGTGGCCATCATTCCAATGAACACCCACACCCTTTTCCTTTGTTTTGAAATGTGGCTTGAGATAAAGATTTTCCTGGACAAATACATATCCAATTTCTTGTCATCTCAGCCATATATCTGATTAGTTTCTCAGGGTGAGACGGCTCCTCCCCTTTTCCAGATCAAATGAAAGCTTTTGGTTCAAGCACAAATCATACAAAGCATTTCAAGCTTTCAYGCCTCCACAATCTTGCATGAATCACTGGATGGAATAATAGAAATCAGAAAGTACTGATTTGAGGGAAATGTCTCCATTATCTCTAAAGATTTTGTGTTAGACAAAAGACATAGCCAAGACCAGTTCCAATGGCTGGGATTACTTTCACTCCTTATGTGGGACTCAGATTCAAGATTGGAGACTCCAAGTGCTTTCAAGAAGGTCCCTCCCAGCCACTTGACCTGTAAATCTTTTTTTCTAACAATTCTCTTGACTGTATGGCTCATCTCCCTAATGTTTAGGGGCCATCAATTCTAGCTTGACGGAATGTTTCAGTGAAGGTTCTGTAACCCCTGGAATGTGCAGTAATGCCTTTGCCTATTATGTGCAAGTGTTCTAGCAAATCAATGATAGTGAGAGGGAGTTTGGGAGATGGGAGGAAAGAAAAGATTGAACACATAAAGAGGATTCTGGAAGGTAAAGATAGGAGGAGAAAAATGTCAGACAGTTGAAACCAGGAAAGCAAGTCATGTGCTTGAGTTGTTTTTCATTTATTCATTAAATTGATACTTTTGGAATGTTACCATGTGTCAGACAAATGAGCACATAATGAGATGATTTGAGGTGGTGACTCATCTATGAAGACAATGCAAGGGTAGTAGGATGGAAGGTGATAGGGAGGCGCTGGCCACTTGCCTTGAGTTGGTTAGGGAAGACCTCTCTGAGGAGGTAGCATTGGAGCCAAGAGCTGGATGGCGAGAAGTAGCCAGCGCTGGATGGATCTATCTTTAGCAGTCAGAGTAGTCTGTAGCTCTGTGGTCTGAATATTTGGAGGCTAAACTCAGGCAGGGGGTTCTTTCAAAAGGAAAGCTGAGTGTTCCTGATTTCTAGGCCTGCTCTGCCCCAGTTCCTAGGCTCTATGTATCCTGTTTTCTCAGGGGTAGAGCCTTTGAACACTTCCAGCTCTTGGGTATGTTGAGAGCAAAGAGAACAAAATAAAGAATAATCAGAAGTCTAGGTCTCTAAAAGCATAGTAGGGAGAAGAAAACACAAGGCTAGTTGGGTGCAGTGGCCTGGTATCTCAGCTGCTTGGGAGGCTGAGGAAAGATTGTGATTCAAGAGCTAATGAATTCAAGAGCTAATCTTATACTCGGACAGAGTGAGCCGTGGAAAATCCATGGATCACAAGTTCAAAGCCAGCCTCAGCAACTTAGTGAGGCCCTAAGCAACTCAGTGAGACCCTTGTCTCTAAATAAAATACAAAAAGGGCTGTGGATGTGGCTCAGTGGTTAAGTGCCCTGGGTTCAATCCCTGGTAACAACCCCTCCACAATACCGCCCCCCCCCCAAAAAAAAAAAAAAAAAAAAAAAAAACCACAAGGCTAAGTGGAAGGGAAGGAAAATGGGGGACTGGAAGAAAGCAGAGAAACCTCAAGCTGTTTTTGTTTACTTCATGTGCACACTTTGGTGGGAATGATTTAAAAACTGATGGAAAGGTGAAATGTTTACCAGAAAATCAAAACCCAGCTTTTCACCTATATTGTACTGTAAATAATATTTTATGGTCTCCTAAAAACACCTGGAAGCCTTTCTCTTTAGTAAGTGAAACAATGAAGATTAACTAGTTAATTTGGTAAAGCTGATTTGAATTGCACAGAAGGCATTGAGTAATACTTGGCATTTAAAAAGTTATCTGACATTTAAAAGGAGATGACTGCTAATGAATTCAAGAGCTAATCTTATACTCTGACAGAGTGAGCCATGGAAAATCCAGGATTATTATCTTGCTGTAAACATAATGTGATTCAATTGAGCTATCAAAAAAGGGAGCTATTGCTGTAAACAAATATCCATAGGCACACATATTTACCACAACTTAAAGGGAATGGCCATTAAAATTAAGTAAATTCTTGTCATTTCTTTTCTTTACTCATGGACTGTAATACCTGAATTGAAGACCCAAGGGAAAAAAGCCTTCTTCCCAGTAATTTTTTCTCCTCCTTTCAGTTGGTATTTTAAAAAGTCATTATCAGGAGTTGGTTCTACAAACAGACCTCAGATGTCTAATGTAATCCCCGCTACTTGGGAGGCTGAGGCGAGAGGACTGCAAATTCTCCGTCAGCCTTGGTGATTTAGCAAGATTTAACAAGATTTAGCAAGATCTTGTTTCCAAACAAAGGGTTGAGGATGTAGCTCAGTGCTTGCCTAGGATGTGGGAGGCCCTGGGTTCAAACCCTAGAAGAGGGGCGTGGGAGCAAGGAGAAAGAGAGAAGGGGAGATTCTGAACCCAAGCTGTCACATCCCCACCCATGGGTCTCACAGTGTAACCAAAGATAAGGATCTGTCCTGTAGGCGTCCCTCAGGCCTTCCTCCCACGACATCTCCCACTCTTTTCTAATTGGGGTTCCCCACCTTTGTAGCTGCCGCTCAATGGCTCCAAGAAGAGCTTTTGTCCCTCATTAAGGAGGCTGCAACACTCTGGCTGTCTAAGTGCCTCCCACGCAGCTCACAACTTCATTCTGCCTGAGAGGGAGCTGCCAAGAGTCTCTGGGAACCTGTGGGCAAGCTGAGCTGAAGGAAGAAAACAGGAGGAGGGCCTTTGTAGCCAAGATCTGAAATGCACGGGGAAC